TCCATGATTTAGGATGTATTGATGGTCTCATACACCCAGGTCCTCAGGGGCTCCGACGTGGGCTAGGATAAGGTTCAGGGAGCCAGTGGGGCTGATCCTGGGTGGCACGAAGAAGGAGGCAAAGTCTGTCTCTCACATCCCCTCCTTTCCCATCTATTCCTTTTGGTCTTCTGTGGCCTTCCCATACCTGTCCTAGCCTTGGTCCTGCCCTGTTTCCCTCTCCACCCACCACCATGCATCATCCCATCCTCCCTCTGCCCAACTCAGGGGGGCACTGGGCCTTCTCTCAGGGATCTTTAGGAGTTAATGGCCCCTAGCAGTGATATTTAATCCAGGAAAAAGACAGTAGTGGAGGAAGTTTTCATTTGAAAAGGATAATTGGCCCTCTTCCAGGCTTGAGATAGAGAAAAATTAAAGTTGGACAGGTCTCATACCCCTCAAAACCCCTCACTCAGTGGTGGTGTGTACATAGTCCAAAGACCCTGGCTTTGGAATCAGATAGGTGGGGGCTCAAATTGGATTTGGCTTTTTTGCGGGGGGAGGGGCAGAGGGAGAGGGAGACAGAGCTCCCTGCCCAGTGGGGAGCCCAACAAGGGGCTCTGTCTCACAGCCCTGAGATCACAACCCGGAGATCATGGCCCGAGTCGAAATCAAGAGTAAGACACTTAACCAACTGACCACCCAGGTGCCCCGGATTTGGCTTTTATCGGCAGCCTGAGTTTAGACAAGTTACTTAATCACTCTAGGCCTCAGTTTCCATAGCTGTTAAATGGGATTAGTAATAATCTCTACCTCTCAGGGTTATTGTAGAATTAAATCAGATAATATATGTAATATGCCCAGTGCCTGGCACATATTAGATGCTCAATTAAATAGTTGGCTATAAAACAAAAAGCAGATCTGGGTGCTGACCCCAAACTTCCCTAACAGTCTGTTTCTCATGGTATTCCTTTTACTCCCATAATTCTATGCACAGCCCCCAGGCACCCATTAGGGCATGAACTTCATGGTACCTGCCACTGAGGTCAAACCTCCCTCATTTACAACCTTACCAACCCTGTTTTCTGTGGCTCCCCACACTCTCCTAGCCACACTCACAAGCCAGACTCCCCAACACCCTCTCTGCTTACACAGACCTCAAGGCTGGGATACAGAGATCAAACTGGTCAGGATGGGCGAGAGGCTGGAGATCAGGCCAGAGAGCGAGGAAGAGGCTCATGAGGGGCCTTGAGAGCCCAGAGGGCAAAAGAAAGCCATGGAAAAGTTTTAAACCTTTAAACTGGGGCATGCCTGTGGTCAGGTTTGCATTTTACCACCATCACTGATCGGAGGGGTTGGAAGGCAAAACTGGAGGCAGAGAGGCCAGGGGAGGCTCTTGTATCGGCTGGTTTTGAGAGCTTGCCAGCCCGGACCAAGATAGAAGCAGTGCCCACGGGCTCAAGTGCAGATTTGGGGAGTACTTGGGAAATATGGTGGGTGGGCTGTGGGCTGTAGGGCAGGCTGGATATGGGTGGGGAGGGAAAAGAAGCAGTCCAGGATGGGATTGCGGCTTTAGGCCTAAACCACAGGTGGACGTGGGGCACCTGACCGGCCAAGCAGGGACTGTTATTATCATTACTTATGATTTCTTAGTATCATTAGGAATAGCGATATTACTTCCTGCTGTTCACTCAGCTATTGAGCTTTCGTGTATCAGGTCTTACGCACATTGGGGGGCCTGGGCCGTGACTAAGCAAGACACAGTCCCCATCTTCGAGGAGCTCCCAGCCTAATGCAGAAGATGGATAGATAAAATACAGCTGACCTTGAACAACATCGGTCTGAACGGTGCAGGTCCACTTATTAGTGGATTTTTTACAGTACAGTACTCTATGTGTATTTTCTCTTCCTTATGATTTTCTTAATAATGTTTTCTTTTCTCTTGCTTCCTTGATTGCAAGATTATACTGTATAATACATATAACATATAAGAGATGGATTCATCGGCTGTGTATGTTACCAGTAAGGCTTCAAGTCAACAGTGGGCTATCCGTTAAGTTTTTGGGGGAGTCAAAAGTTCTATGCAGATTTTTGACTGTGCGGGGGTTGGTGCCCCTACCCTTAAGGGTCAGCTGTGCCTACAATGTGACAAGCTTTATGGCAGTGGAAGAACAGAAGCTTTAGGGAAGGCTTCCCCGAGAAGATGCAGGACCTGGCCGTTGACGGAGTTAACAAGGTGCAGACAGAGGGGAAGGGCCTGTCAGGCAGCCAGCGGGAGCTACCCGCAAAGGCAAAGGCGCGGGGGTGGCGGTGACCGTGGTTCATGCGAGGCCACTCACTGCAGGTGGCTGGCACGGGCTGGGGGCTAGCTCCCCTGCTTGCCTGAAGCGTCCACTTGGATAGGCCGCAGCCAAAGCGCTTCCCTAGCTTGATACTGACTGAAAGTGACTGGACTTAGTTGATCTCATTTGAACTGAGGGCACGTCACCCCAGCCTGTCGTGAGACGGCTCTTGCCTGCTTTTCCAGCCGTGCTCGCAGCGGTGGCCCTGTGTGCAGCCTCCCCTCCTCTTGCTGAATATCTCTCTTCCACCACCCCACCGGGCTCTTTCACACTTGCGCGCGTTCCTGTGCTGTTTCCTCCACTTGGAATGCAGTTCTCCGTCTCGTGTTTGGCCGCTCAGCCTGGTTCTTCAAAAGCTTGTCCAGAGGCCACTCTTTCCGTGAAGCCGCCCCACCCTCCCAGGCCAGCGGCCAGTCCTTCCTCGGCGCTCCCGCAGAACTGGGTTCAGCCCTCTCCGACAACTCTCGTCACTGGATTAGAAGTACTGATTAAGTGCATTCTTCTTCCTTACTAAACTGTGAGCTTCTTGAGAGCAGAGACCATATTTCATTAATCTGTGTGTCTCCGAGTGCTCTGCCCGGATCCTACACAGAGTTGGGCGCTGGATTAATGAATGCACCATGAAAGAACGGAGTCAATGGAGAGGGGAGGTTCTGGAAGAGGAGGTGATTGATGGTCCTTAATCCTGGAAACCTCTTTCACAAAAAGAATACTTCATCATGTGATAAGGTAGCCAAATCCCTCTTAGCACTTTGACCTTGCCACCTACCAGGAATTAACCTTTGACCTCCCCTTTCCGGCTCTCACCATCTGCCATCTGAACTCCCAAACCACACACCACCATGTACAAAAAGGTCAGGGGCCTGGGCAGGTAAGAGGATGAACAATTCCATGATCTTCACATGTAGGTAAGAATTTCTAATCTGCCCCATCCAAGGCCATCCCACAGTCTGCCTTGAAACTCTCATGCTATGATAAAGGCTCCTAGGGGATAGTTAGGAGTGGGTAATGTGATTGGGAATTCTTCCAACAGGAAGCAGAAAAGACAACCAGAAAGAAGCTTCTGGGCTGCAGGGGAAGCTGGAGGGGACCAGAGGGTGTGGGGTGTGAGGAGAGAGGGCCGGGACTGTGGCTAGCCTGTCCCCAGCCTGCAAGGACCTGAGCGAGCCAGCTGTGCGGGAATGTGAGAACGTTCCCATCTTTTCCCTGGCGCCCACACAGCCATACTTTATTTATTTATGGTTCCCGCTCACAAAAACAAACCTGCTTCCCTCCCAGACATAAGCTCTGCTCTGGGCGCTGGCACCCAATGGGGGAGGGAATCAGAAGTGAAAACCTCAGGTCCTCAGGGGCGAAGCTGGGTGACCTAGGGAAAAGGCCCTCACTTCTCTGAACCTGACTCTTCTTCTCTGGCACATGACAGATGTTCAGGGGCACAGAAGGACCTCAAAGAAGAGCACTGTCAAACCAGGAAGGGCAGCTCTGTTACCGGCAAGCGTCAGGGGGGCAGAGATGAGACTATTTACATTCTCTTCTGCCTTGGACACATACACTTAGATTCACGGTATCTTAGAAAGTTAGGGCCTGAGAGATGACATCCAATCCCTTATTTTACAGATGTGGAAACTGAGTCCTAGAAGAGGGATCAGGACTCGCCTAAGATCATTGATATATGCCAGCACAAACTCCAGTGGCAGTCTTCGGATCTGGGGGGCTGCTTATAGGCTCATCCCTCCCCTAAGGGGGCAGGGCCAGAAGAAGAGGCTTTAAAGTGCAAACAGAAGGATCCAGGTGAGCCATAAGGAAGAATCGGGCTATAAGAACGGGTATCAGAAGAACACTGGGACGGACGGCCTTCTCTGGTACGAGATGCAATCTTGTCCAGGGGCTTGCCTGAAATAATCTCGGCGCTGCACCTCCCAGGGGCACCGCACTCACACCAGTCCTTCTCTTTCGGAGTCCAAGGGACCCAGGATCCCTCCCCCAGAGACCGGCGCCATGGCTAGTGGCTGGGGGAACTTGAGAGGCCAGTCCTGGAACAGGTGCAACAGCTGGAACCCTGTGCAGCTGTCGCGGGGCTCCGCCTGCTGGCGAGTGAGTGAGACAGAGACCTCTACTGGTGGGAGGGAGGAGGTGCAGAACCGCCTAACCCACCCAGGGTGGGGCCTGCCTGGAGCCAGATGTCAAGCCTTCGCTCGGGTGCCCCCTTCCCCCATGTACATCTGGACGGGTAGATGGGGATGCAGCTAAGCTGAACAGCAGGGCAGGGTCCCTACTGGTGGGTCTCCCTCCACACCCACTGTTCTAGGCCTTCTAGGTACGCTCTCCTGGTGTCTGAGGGCAGGACGACCAGGCTGTAGATCTAAACTCCCCCAACTTCCTTTTTCCAAAGTCCAGAGCAGACTCAGAATCAAGCGTCTCTGGATCTTAGAGTCTTAGAATCACAGGATTTTAAAGCCAGAATGGTCCTCAGTGGTGACCTGTTTGGGTCAACCATCTCTCTTTATAGCTGGGAAAACTGAGGGGCAGAGAAGGGCAACTTGTCTGGTGTCACGGCTGGAATTAGCAGAGCCAGGCTGAAGTCAGAACCTTCTAACTCCAATTTGTCCTCTGAGCCACGTCATCCGACGGGAGCTCCCTTTCTGCCCCCTCTCTACTTCTGCAGTCTGCGATCCTGTCACCTGGGGACAGAAGCTCCAATTCCTACCATACGCATTACCCTTGGAGTGAGGATAGAGAGATTGATGTTTTTACTTGATGACTGTCTCCTGAAAGCAGGATTGGACAGCGGGAGGGAAGAGAAAACAGAAGCATGCCAGATACCTTAAGGGGAGGTGGGGGTGGGGGTAGCAATTAGTAAGGGAAGAGCACAATAGAGAGGCACTGACCTAGGGGCAGAGCACTGGAGAGGGAGTCAAGACATTACACAGGTTCTCATTCCACAGAGGGATGGGTGCCCAAACTGACTAACATCATGCATGTCTGTGGTTCCACCTGGCCAGAGTTGAGACTCCGTCCAGGTTGAACTCAATCTGTGGCTGGAAGCAGAGCCAAGGACAGAATAACCTTTGTTTGAATAGTCTTGCACTGTGAGGAGCAAACTGCCATGCGTGCTCACAGGCCTTTGGCATTCTGCAGGGCTGAGCCACCTCAGGAGTCTGACATGACGCAGACCTGAGAATTCCCATCTGTTGGCATCACTTCTGAAAGCGCCTGAGGCCTGTTGTGCATAAGACATCTCCTGGTGAATCTTACTTGAACTAAGACAAAGACCTTCCTAAGAGACCCCAAATAGGACCCTGGCAAATGCCTATAGAATAGGATTGTTCCTAGATTCATAGATAGTCAGCACTAGACGAAGTGAAGCTCAGAGAAGGGAAGTGATTTGTCCCAATGCACATAATCAGTAAGTGACACATCTATGTATTCTTTTCTTTAATAAATCTGCGGTGTGAACTTGGGCAAGTCTCTCCCACTTCCTGGGCTTCAGTTTAACTATAAGGATAGGAAAATTGCAGGTAGAAGCAGATGATTTTCAAAGGCTCTTTCAGCTCTGACATCCCAGAATCTGAACACACCCCTCTGAATGCCAGTCCACCTCACCTTAATTCAAGTCTGCTCTGAGTAGTTTTCTTGCATGTGTGGAGCTAAGCTCCAGGCTGTAGGGGAGATAGAATTCTGGCAGGACCCAGTGAGAGGTAGGGGCCTGAAGGCCAGTGGAGGAGCAGAGGAAGGAGATGGAAGGGGCGTGGGTGGCCAAGGAAAGTTTGCTGGAAGAAGTGTGACCCAGCAAGGTGATGAAGGGCTGGCAAGATACGGGAGGTTGACAGGAGGGGTGTGGGTAGGACATCAGCAATCCTGCACAATGATCTGATTCTGGTTCATCTGTCAGAGATGTATCCAGGGCAGTGATGCTTGGAGAAAAGCCTTGGGGGCTAAGAATGCTGTGCCAAGAGGAAGGGAGGCAGGCATGGAGAGCATTCTGTGGTAAGTCCCTTTTAAGAAACAACAGGTAAGTGTTAGGAGGAAACCTCCGGGGCCCAAGGAAGGGGAGGAGACATTTACTGAGTACTAGGCATTGTGCTGGCTAATTTAACACGGTCACCTCCTTGAATCCTCCCAAGAACCCTTTGGGTTCCAGGTGCGTCTTTGTCTCAGATCAAGAAATTGAGGCTCAGAGAAGTTGTGACGTATGATAAGTCACACAGCTGCTGAGGGCCAGAGGCAGGACTTGAACCCAACGCTGAGGTCTTTCCATTACCTATTACTAACTTCTGTGAGTCTCATGCTGCCGGCAGCCCAGAGACGACCAGACATGCAGCCTGCCCTCACAAGCAGAGACAAGAATGAAACAGAATCCAGCCCCACCAGCTCCAGAAAGTCACGTGCAAAAGAAAGGCAGCAAAAGAAAGGGGGAGCTGAGCTGTGGAGAGGACAGAGCGCTAGGCTGGGACTTGGGAAACTGGGGTCTTCATCCCAGTCCCTGTGCTGTGTAACGTGGAGCAGACCCCTGCTCCTCCTTGTCCTCGGGTCCTTTATCAGGTATTTTAAGGTTTGAACTAAGCTCCTTCCTTCTCATTAAGTGAATCTTTGGTTTTGTTTTCCATCCTCACAGCATTCCAAGAGATTGGGGATGGGGAGGGGGTCCACCAGCCTCTTGCAGGGGTAGGGGGAAACTGAGGTTCAGAGAGATTATATAAACTGTTTGAGGTTACACTGCGTCTAAGTGGAGAAGCATGAATTGGGAGACTGATATTTTTACTGATGCTACCATGTACCAGCTAGTTGCTGGTGCTAGTTGCTTGACATATTTTCTCCAGTTTAATTCTCACAACAGCCCTGGGATTTTGACTCCCATTTTATAGATTAGGGAACTGAGGCTTAGAGCGGTGCCCTCACCTGCTGGTATTCAAAAGATCTGGGATAGTGAAGACTGGTCTATCTCCCTGTGCCCTTGCTGCCTCCCAGAGTCTTACAACTCCAAATCAGGGCTCCTTCAGATGCCGTGGGGCAGGGGGAAAAAGCATAGGATTTGGAATTGGAGAGCTCGGTCTTTGGATGGCTTACTAGCTCTGTAAACTTAATCAAGTTTCTTCTGTCAACCTGTTTTCTCATCTGTAAAATGCAAATGACAATACCCACCTCATGGGAGTGTTGTGAGGATCACAAGGGGTAACAGAATGAGGTTTGTCTAGTTAGCTCTTCTGTCTTTCCATGGGCTCCCTTTGAATGCAGTGGTCTACATCTTCATCACTTTCATCACACCCTTGCAGCCAGACATGCCCGGCTCTCTCCTGAGAACGTTAAGCACCACCAGCAGCCAACACACACGCACAGTGTCCTGCCCTCTCTCCCACCGCCCTCAGTCCCCCGCATCCTCAGGTCCGTGGCAGCAGCCCCCTTGGCTCTGAGTTTTGCCAAGTTTCCCCAAGTTTCCCCGCAGTATCCCACACTCATCAACCCATACTGGTCCACAGAGAAGTCTCCACTCTCCCTACACAGGTGCTGCCCGATGGCTGTCAGAACAGTTTGAGGTCCCGAGTCCTGGCACTTGCCCCCGCCCCCCGCCACCCCGCACATCCCAGGGGCTCGAATCCCTCCTCTGCCTACCCAGCCCCACCAGCACCCCTACTTACGGGCTCGAGCGTGGGAGTCCAAGGGGAACCAGAGCAGCGCGAGTCCCAGCAAGGAGGAGAGGACCCTTACCTCGGGAAACATCCTTCCTTCTCCCAGGGCCAGGCCGCCGGGCGCTGAGCCGGGAGGGGCGTCGGGAGAAAGTGAGATGAGGACACTGAGGCACAGGGGCACAAAGCAACCCGCAGACCCAGGGAGGGCTGCCTCTACAGTGGAGAGTCAGAGAAGAGTGGAGTAGGTGGTGCGGACAGAAAGGGAGGTCCAAGGTGGGAATAAGCGGAAGGTGGAAAGAGAACAAGGGAAAAGGAGAGAGAGAGATGGAGAGATGGAAGAAGGTGCGGCAGGAAGGGAAAGCAGTGAAAGCAAAGGAGAAGGTGAGAGGGAGGGGAGGAGGAGAAAGACGGGGAGGACAGGGGTCTGCAGAGCGCGCAGCGTCGGCCGAGGCGCGCGGGACCAGCGGGCTGTTCCGGGCGCGCGGGCTAGAAGCGGCCGGCGCCCCCTGCTCGGTGGGCTCGGGGTAGGGCTGCGGGGTCCTGGGGCGCGGCGGA